ATCTTTCCTATTGCAGGGAGACCAGAATTGAACTCATCCAGCTTTGTAATCCGTGCTACCATTGCTTTTTCATTGTACTGGTTTCAGCTTTCCTGGCAAGTATATTATAAGGCACTTCATTTGATGTTTCTTGGAATGCACACAATCACTCATCAACTTTCTCCATCAACAACTTCTAAAACACAATCAATTTAATTAGGGAACTATAGTGCTGGTGGAGGGTTGTTTTTCAGACTGGAGGCCTGTGACTAGCAGTGTGCCACAAGAATCAGTGCTGAACCCACTGCTTTTTGTTATTTATATAAATGTTTTGGATGTGAACATAGTAGGTATGGTTACTAAGTTTGCAAATGACACTAAAATTACAGGCGTAGCTGACAACGAAGGAGGTTATATCAGAGTACGATGGGATCTTGATCAGATGGGCCAACGAGCCAAGGAGTGGCAGATGGAATTTAACTTAGATAAATGTGAGGTGGAAAGGCAAATTAGGGCAGGACTTAGACACTTAATGGTAAGGTCCTGGGGAATGTTGCTGAACAAAGAGACTTTGAAGTGCAGGATCATAGTTCCTTGAAAATAGAATTGCAGATAGATAGGATAGTGAAGTCGGCATTTGGTATGCTTGCCTTTATCGGTTAATGCGTTGAATATAGGAGTTGGGAGGTCATGTTGTGGCTGCACAGGACATTGGTTCAGCCACTTTTGAAGTACTGCATGCAATTCTGTTCTCCCTCCCATAGGAAGGATGTTGTGAAACTAGAAAGGGTTCAAAAAGATTTGAGGAGTTGCCAGGGTTGGAGTGTTTCAGCGATAGGGAGTGGCTGAATAGGCTGGGTTTTTCTTTTACCTGGAGTGTCAGAGGCTGAGGGGAGATCTTTTAGAGATTTTTAAAATCGTGAGGGGCAGGGATAGGGTAAATAGGCAAGGTCTTTCCCCGCGGTGGGGTGTGCAAAATTAGAGAGCATGGGTTTAAGGTGAGAGGGGAAAGAATAAGAGGGAACCTAAGGGGCAACTTTTTCACGCAGAGAGTGGTGCGTGTATGGAATAAGCTGCCAGAGGAAGTGGTCGAGGCTGGTATGATCACAATATTTAAAAGACATCTGGATGGGTATATGAACAGGAAGGTTTTAGAAGGATATGGGCCAAATGCTGGCAAATGGGAATAGATTTATTTAGGATATCTGATTGGCATGGACGACTTGGACCGAAAGGTCTGTTTCCGTGCTGAATATCTCAATGACTATATGACTCTATGACTTTCTTTTATCCACTTTTGTCCAAGTGACCGTTAATTTTGTTCTGGTATATCGCTTCCAAAAGCTTTCCCAACACAGTGGTTAAACTGACTGGGTTTACCTTTGTTAAAACAAGGATATAAATATTGGCAATTGTGGTACGATTCTATATCTAAGAAGGATTCAAAAGTTACTGTTAGAACCTCTACAATTTCCACCCTTATTTCCCTTAGCATCCTTGGAAATATTACATTATGGTCCATGTAATTTATCTGGATTTCAAGTACAGGCTGCCTTCCTAATTGCTCCTCTTCATTAATTATAGCTTATCTAGTGCCGCAACTACTACTTATTTCTCTCAATGATTTTGCCCACACCATCTTGCTAAGGTACAAAGTAATCATTTAATATCTCAGCTCAAATAAATAGATACATTTTTTGTCTCTGATTGGTCCCTCTCTTCCTCCCTTTTATTATTTGCATGCCACTGGAAAACCTTTGGATTTGTCTTTACGTTAGCTACTCTTTTCGCACGTTATCTTTGTCTCTCATTTCTTCTTTCACTTCCTGACTATATTTTCTACATTCAGTTTGGTTCCCAGTTGCGTAATTGGCTCTCTATTTGATTGCCCTGCTTTTTCATAATGTGGGATAGTACTTCCAATGTACTCTTGGAATGCTTCTTGTTCTTTGTCCTTTTCATAACTAATGTTATGACACTATGATCACCATTCCTCATATGTTTCCAGGATGACACTTGATCCACATGATGTTTCATTCCAGCAAGGCTTCCTTTTCCATTGAGCCAGAAAATTCTCCTCAACACACTTCAAATACTCTTAAGCTCTATCTTGTACATCATAATTATTTTAACACTGATTCTGATATTACAATTTACCCCATTTTTTCCATTCATTAGTTTTTGCATTTGTAAGTTTCCTGAAAATATGCTCCTCTACATAGTCCAACTGGTCTATAGAACACATCCAGTATTATAATGGTACCTCTATTATTTCTTACTTTAATCAAATACATGCTGTCCTTAACCAGACTAAGATCTCCTCTCCCTCCAGCACTGTGACATTCTCCTTAATTAATTCTACCACATCACCTCTTTTATCCTTTCCTATCTTTATTTACCACCTTGTATCCAAGATTATTTAGTACCAAATCTTGTCCATTATTAGCCAGGTCTATTAACACTACAACTTCATGTTCCATGCAGCTACCCATATCTGCAACTACCAACCTTATTTACCGCACTTCGTATTTTTACATATGGGAGTTAGAAACTTAAGGTAGACTTTTACTGCATTTGCTCTTTGTCCAATACCTTACTGTTATTCTAGTGCTATCTATCTCTTCCAACTCATTGTGCACCTTGTTTCTCCTTCATAATGCTATATCTCAATAACCACCTTCCTGCCAAGTCAGTTTAAAACCCCTTCAACAGCATCTGCAAACCAACAAACAAAGTCATTTTTCCTGGTTCTCTTGAAGTGAATCTCATCAGACTGTGTACCTTACAACTTGCCAAGAACCAGTTCTAATATCTAGGATTATAAATCCCTCACTCAAAGTATCATTCCAGCAAGGGGGCGGCCTGGTGGCAAATTGGTCAGCATTGCTGCCTCAGAGCACCAGGAACCCATCCTCGGGCAACTGTCTGTGTGGAGTTTGCACATTCTCCCCTTGTCTGTGTGGGTTTCCTCTGGGTGCTCCAGTTTTCTTCCCACAGTCCAAAGATATGCAGGTTAGGTGGATCGGCCAAGGGAAATGCAGGGTGACATGAATAAATTAGGGGGTCGGTCTAGGTTGGGATCTTCGGAGGGTCAGTGTGGAATCGATGAGCCGAATGGCCTGTTTCCACATTGTAGGAATTCTATTCTGTTCTATTCAAATCATTTCAGCCAGTTCCCTGATCTACCATTCTATGTTAATACTCAGAATGGCACTGAGCCTGGAATAACTGGAAATTGCTAGGTCCCTAAACTCTGCCTGCACACCCTCATCCCTCTATGTCATTGGTAGCAGTAATAGTCTCATAAATAGAGGTATGTTGGAGTATGTTAACATCATGGATTGTGCATCCTGTTCCATGTTCAAATTCAGAATATTTCTCATGTCTTAAACAAACAGTTGTGGAGGAAGTGTTGTGAGCTGCAGGACCCTGATCTCCAGTTTTTGAAGTCTGAACAATAGCTGGCACCACTGTAATATATCTGCAAGGCTGTGTGACAGCATGTCATTACAACATGTCTTTAAGCTACGGAAACAAAGGAGGATTATCAGGCAAACAACGAAGACTATGCAGTTGAGTGCTGAGTCCCCTCGGACTCAAATGTTCCTTTCTCTACAGTCAGTACTCAGTTCTGACTACTGATAAGAGTGATACTTTTTCTTGGGCGTGCAGTCAGAGTTAAGCCCATGGCTCTATAGCTCAGGTGTATAGGGTGACAAGCAAAGATTAGAAAGGCAACAGTGATAGAATGTTCTATATTTAGGGGAGCAGGAAGGCATTTCAGAGGCTCCAATTTGATTCCAGAATGGTATGAAACTTCCTTGGAACTTGCGTCAAGAATGGCACTCAGCAGCACAAAAACCAAGGGTAGAAGAACACAAAGCCAGAAGTCATGGTCCATATCCAGACATGGAGAATATTTGGTTTCTTTTGTTGGTAGAATTTTTGAGTTAAACATTTTTGAGAATCATTTTAAGAAAATACAAGGCAAAAAGTTCACAACTTCAAAAGTAAAATTTTTCTTACTTCTTTATATGAAAAATGCATTTTCACAAAAGGGTTCTGATTGAAGTCCTTCTAGCTTTTGCTTTGTCTTCTCTAAGCAATACCAAGTATATCAAGGCAAGGAGCAACCGTTATTTTAATCGCGGTTTGAGTCCTGCCTCAGTGGTAGCTCAATTCTGCTGACATGTGCATATAATCTGGGTTTACACTTCAATGCAGCATTGAGAGATTGCTGGTCTGTGGGAATTGTCATCTTTCAGATTTACCGAGGCTACATCTACCTCTCACGCAGAAAAGTTAATAATCTCATAACACTGTCTGATGAAAGGCTGAGGAGTTCTCCTGGTTATCTGACCAATATAATCCTTCAATCAAAATAGAAAGAATATATAGTCATTTATCTCACTGGTATTTCTGGAATGTTGCATGCAAATTGGCTGCTATGTTTTCCCATGTTATTAATATGACTACGCCAAAATTACTTCATTGTCAGCCGTTATTTTGGCATGTCTCAAGGTCAGAAAAAGCTCAAATATAAATGTGCAGTTTTTAAACAGTAACATAAACATAAATACAAAATCATCAAGGCTATTCATTTTTGCTCTTCACAGAAGGTGAAGTTATTACTAGTGAAATATAATATTTGAAAGAATGGTAAGAATTCAGAATATGTTTATTTGAAAAGTCAAATTTGGATTCAGTCATTAAGTCTGCAGCCCCGGTGCTTATTTCTACATGGTTTAAACACTTCTTTGGCTATTAAACAATATATTACATGAAACACCAAGGGCTGTACCACAGGAGATCAAGTACCATAAAAATACAATTCTTCATATTTTCTGATTATTGTGCCTGGTTGTTATTGTAGTGCCTAGTGGAAATAAAGTGCAATGATAACACCTGCTTCTATTACTTGAACGCATCCATAAAATTCTGTCTAACCTGATGCTGTTTAATTTCAGTCTGCCTTATTTTGGCCTTTACAGAAAACGTACAGATTATCAAAATAGTAGTACCTTAGATTTAGCAGCTTTCCACTTGCTTGAAAGTACCAATATACCAGACTGATGTAGGGTGGTTTTTGCTTCGGTGTACATCACTTCCTTATTCTTTTGCATTGCATTTAGAAGACCAAGTACAACTTTTGTTGGTAAGCCTAGTGGATTGGGACTGTTAGGGCTTACATGCCAGGTAGCATATGCAGAGGTTTTTTTGTCCGTTTGCTGTATGTGTAGAGGTTTACACTTCGTCAGGTAACACCAACTGGAACTTGTTGAAGTCTTCAGAGATGAAAGTGATGTATTTTGTATATCTTGTGTGCTTGTGACTGGAAAGGAAGCTCCAACTTTTATTCGGCCCTCATTGCTAATTGGCTGCACCTGGTCATTACCCAATGGTGACTTGTTATCCTGTCTATCAGAGGCTGACTTCAACAGCATGGTATGCACTTGAGGAGAACTAGAGCATACTGATATAGGGGACTTTCGAATAACTGTACTTGAAGTGAAATGAGAATAATTTGAACTTTCAGGTTCCAAAACTTCTCTTGCAACTATTGGGTGCTTATCCTGGTAAGATATTGACAGATCATGAAAGGATGTTTTGGGGAAGCTGCTGAGTTCTAAAGTTTGAGGACTGTTTTTCTGGGTACCTTCTTGCTCAACAGGCAATGAATCTTCAATTTCATCGGTTGTGCAAAACTGCCTTGTTAACATTGGCTTCTTAAGCTTATTAATTTCCACAGATTTCATGCTGTGTAACCATCCTGGTGTTACATTACCACTGCTTGTAGATCCATTTTCATCTTTAACTCGTTTCTGATGATTTTCCAATGCAATATCTAAACTGTTTGCTGGAGACAGCATGCGTTTACTAGGTCCTGTAGTTTCCTGGGCAAGCAAACCATCTGATGGTGTTTTCAAACCACTGAGTACAAGTGAACTTTTGCTTTCATCATGGGAAATACAATATTTAGAAATGGCAGATACCTTTACTTTAGAACTTATTTCACACTGTTGGCCTTCCAAATAATCATTTGATCCTGAAGGCACTTCCTCATCAGTAGCTAAATTTACTGAATCAAGATTACAAATCACCACAGGTGGATTGTTTGATTGGTCTTGTGTGACCAAAATCTGTGGTAATGTTGTTATAGCAGTAGTGTTATAAACAGATTCCTTATTTTGAAGTCCAAAAGGCACGACCACAGAAGCTAGAGTAGCTGACCTGCCAGAATTGACAGGTTGGACTGGAGGGAGCAAGTATAAATTTGAGATGATCTCCAATGACTGAGGTGAAACATTCGAAGTTAGCACACTTGATCCGAGTGTATCAGGAACTGGTAGTGGAATAACTGGCTGTTGGGATGTAACAGTAGGAAGCAAATATGGCTGACTGTGTTGCTTCTTAACAAGCTGAAGCTGATATTTAGGAGCAAACATATTATCTAAAGCTGCAGAAGGAAGAGATATAACTGGACACAATTTCTGTTGGGCTACGTGAGCTGTTACTATTCTTTCAGGCAATATCTTTAGGTTTCCTTGTGTCGATGCCGGGACTGAAAATGACTTAACATGAACTTGATTGTTTACATTTGCATCTTGTATTGAAGGTTGTGGATCATGCTGCACCACGTGTCGAATTTGTGCCATGCAAGACAAATGATGTGGTGAGGTTAAAAATGATACAGGAGATGACCTGTGCGATATAGAGCTTTTGGGTTGTGGCAAGGCAGCTACCTGCAGAGTTACATTTTGTTTTAATAAATTAGAAGGCAAAACTGGAGGTTGAGAAATATCTGGGCCAATACTCAAAGACATTTGTCGTAAAAGAGGGCCCCTTCTTCTTTCAATAAGTGAGACAGAGGCAGAACCTATTAGTCCAGGAACCACAGTTGAAATCATTTCCACAGGAACTTCAGGTGATGAACATCTTGATGTGGATATGATAGTACAATCCAATGATTTACTACGAATTCCTGAATTAGCCTCCATAGATGGGGGCAAACAACTACTCTGTTCAACTGTAACACGTCTCATTCCTCTGTAATGTAGATTGGGAAGACCAAGTGTGTTTGAGCAATTTATTAACGACAGCTCAGATACTTTACTTATTGCTTCCACCTTTGAAGGACTCTCAGTCCTGGGAATATCCTCCTTATCAAAAGAAGCTGAGAAACTGGAACAAGACAAACTGCTATCCCGACTAAAGCTTCTTGACAGTGTTGAATCAAAACTGGATTCACCAGATGCATGTTCCATCTCAGCCAGGCGGATTCTTTTCTTCTTTGGTGGGAGTTTCTCTGTTGGTAGCTTTGAAAGTGTCTCACTGCGTTGAGGCCAATGAAATTTTTCCGTTACTATTTCCTGCTCATTTCCTTGCGATTCCTGTTCCTGGTCTGGTTCTTCTGTGACCAAAATCTCAGGAACTTGGATGTTTTGTTGACGCACCAGTCTTAACTGCTGTAGTGAAGTGCAATCAACAACAGAGGGTCTCAAAGTTTCATATTTCAATGCCCTCATTGTCTCAGAAGTATTAGATTGCTGTTGAAAATCTGTGAATTTGCAACAAATGTCTTCCTGAGTATTCACAAACACTGAAGGCTGCATGATTCCATTGGGAGTTTCATTTTCTTGCACAGGAGAAATTCTGTCAATAAATTCTGATTGTTCAAAAGAGCCAGGCCTACTCAAAGAATTTGTGTGTTGAATTACAGACACTCCACTGTTGTTCCTATTCAACTCTCCTTTATCTTGCAATGTAGAGCGAAATGGGTTAGTTTGAATTTTGTTACTAAAAGACACAGATGTCTCGAGGGAAGGTTCCATACCGCCTGCCCCTAAATGTTGTCCTTTTAAATTCTTCACATTGACAGCTAACTGTGTGATATCATCACCCATACTGCTCCTGTAGGAAGCAGCAGAGACAGGAGCTTTTATCTTCTGATCTGCTAGAAATTGCTTATTTACAGTTTTTGTCACAGTATTATCACTGGTCAACATTTCATCATCATCACCAATACTTTTAATTTTCCTCCTTTTCCTTACCTTAGGTGGTTGCTGCAGCACACCTGTTGTTCCAATTACCCTGTAATGTAGCAACTGTGGTGGTTTGCTTCGTGATACTGCTTCCTGTTCTGACTCTTTACTGATTGCTGGTTTAAGTTTTGGCCCATGGAGCTCCGAACAGTAGAATTTCCTGTGATTTTCAAAGTTCTCCAGCTTTCTATATCTGTTTCTGCAAGTTTCACATTCATACATTGACCCCCGTCCTTGTGATTTTTTCACTTTTTCCAGCATTTGCGACTCATGCTCAAATGACTTACTTCTTGGCATCAAAACCCCAGCCTTATTATTGCTATGACAACCCTCATCCATTGAGCATATGGAAACAAAGCTCTGTCCTTCACTACCTGATGAATCCTCAACTGCAGTCTGCCTGACAAGAGTTCGTGGATGAGCAAGTTCTATAGGTGTAAGTGGCCCAGAAACAAAAACATCATCACTAAATGAACCACCAATTTTATCATCAAATGACTGGCACTCTCGAAGTGGGTGTGCTACAGAGACTATACTTGTGGGTACAGCAGAGTATGCCGGAGTAGCTGGCATCGAGTTACTTCTAGTAATTGGTAAACAATCAAGAGTTGGAAATGGAGGAGGAACTGATAGAAGAAACACTGGTTTTGATTTATCAGTAGGTGTAAAGGGGGACTTGGGTATATCAGAACTGGAGCTTGTTCTCCTTCCAGAATGTAGTGGCCGTAGATCAAACTGGAACGAATCTTTAAATGTATATGGTTTTGGAGAGTCTATGCTTCCTCTCCTTGAAAGAGATGTTCTTCTAGGTTTTACACTATCTAGCTGTTTATCATCCACTACTGCTTCATTATCTGATATCAATTTGGAAATGCGTTCTTCAAGAATTTTCGTTGCTATCTGAGTGCGAACAGGAGCTACCAATTTCGATGGTTTTTCAATTGAGCTCACCTGTAAAACAGTGGACATAACCTGGTTGCCAGGAGGTGGACAAGGAAAACTGCACTTGATGGGATCAACTTCGGTTGTGGACATTGATTTAATGTAAGGACTCAATGGACTCAATTGTTGGTCTGCACTCTCCGAACGAGAAAAATACCCAGAGTCTGTGCTCCCTAGACTTCGTGGGCTTAAATGAGACTTTCCTTGCTGCTGACAAAAATCAGTGGCTTGCTGTCTTTGAAGCTGAGCATGTGTGGTTATTGACTGAAGCTTTTCTTCCTTTTGTGGGGTCATTTCTATTTGCTGCTTGTGCTCATTATCCTGCTTCTTCAGTGGAGACATCCAAGCGGGGGTTGACTTCACTTTAGGAGTCTGTGGATTTAATTGCTGCTTTGCAGTGGCTAGTTCTGGAACTGTATCTATCAGCTTTGGACTATCAGCCCTTAATGGGGAAATATTCACAGGGTAGGCCACAACTTTGGGTAAAGCAGCTGTAACTTTTGACTCAGAGGATTTATATAGGGCAGCACTTTCATAAGTGCTATAACCAATGGTTTTATTAAGTAGCTTATCAGGTGACTTGAGACTTCGAGGAAATATTGGTGTTTCTGAATAGGTCTCATTGACAGTTGCTTGTGTAGCTTCCAGTTCAAAGTGCTGTTGCTCAAAAGATTTTTCTTCAGATGTGGATTCAGCCTCACTTTCACCACTTTCCTCTACATCTGAATGATTACTAAGTGCTCGGTCAGATTCCTGTGACATGGATGTACTGCTGCTCCCTGATCTCAAAACAAGGCCGAGTTTGATAGCATGTGCATGGGACTTCTTGTGCTTATATAAATTACTTTTAGTTTTAAATGAAAACCCACATGTAACACAAGGGTAGGGTCGTTCACCGGTATGTGATCGAATGTGTTTTTGGAGAACACTAGGTTTTGCACAAGCTCGGTTACAATACTCACAAATATACTTTCCTTGCTTTTTAGGCTTCTGGTCCTTAACTAAAATATCTGACACTTGGTCTGTCACAGAATTCACAATTGGCGTTACGTGGAGCTGTTTATAACCAGATCCAACTTGAACACAATTAGACAGATTAGTTGCCATTGATCGATTTGGATGAACCGCAAGCTGACTTTGATGCATTCCGTGAGATATGACAGGGTTCTGAGAATGACCTAAAGAAGTCACGGTTAAGTTGTATGTTGGCTGAAAATGGTGTTTTGTTTGGTTCTGCTGGTGTGTTGGTGATCCATTAAATCTCTGTGATAAGGCATGATGTTTATTTTGTGGTACAGCTTGTGAAACAAGTTGAGGTTGCAGGTAATTTAAATGAGATGTGGTCTGATCCTCTGGTTGCACTTTTGTCCCTGATTTGGACACAATTTGATTAAAATTTGAATAGTACTGTGGGGCTATAGTAAATTCAGATTTACATACTGAAGTTTGATTTAGGGTGTGTGCAGTAAATGTTGATATTCCACTTGACTCTTGTCCCTGGGTTCCAACAGTGATGCCTGCTTTTCTTGACTCAGGATCAGCTATACAAAATTTTACTTTTGAAAGAGTTTTTAATTCAGGTTCCATTGCTTTCAATAAAACGTCAAAAGCAGTATTTTCATAAGGGAAACTTCCATTTGTACTGCACGATTTGTCCTCGGCTTTAATTAACCAATGTTCTTGTAGTAAAGAAAGATGTTGAATCTGATGCTGCCTATGCTTGTTGGATAGGGAAGGAGATTTCTCAGACACTAGCAATTTTAATGTTGCATCAGTTTCTAGTTGTTGAGCTCCCAAATTTGGGGATTTGATGCAAGGTTCAACTGAGTGCTCCGCGGGCACAACTGCTCTTTGTGCTGACCTGTCAGTTCTAGCTTCCGCTGCCTCATAAACAAGGTTTAGGTCTTGTGAACATTTTTGCCCAATTTCTCCTTCTTTATCAAGTCCTCCATTTTGTACAACAAGTTCTTCTTTCTCTAATAGCATAGAAGTAGTCTCAACATCCTCAACAGGAAAGGCTGCCTCCACATTCTGTTGATCATTACAAAACTTTAATCGAGCTTTGACAGGTGATTTAGGGATTTTCTTTGTTATGTTTTCAGCCACAACTTTCTTCCGTTTTACACCTTTAACTGCGCTTGGTTTGCCCTTTTGTTGAGAGTCATGGGAGTCTGCTAAAAGAAAATGAAGAAATCTTATTTTTTTCCTTCTACTTTATTGAATAGTATTAAAGCAACATACAGTGAATGATATTTAAATGGTTAATGGTGTACAAAAATTGCTTGCTTGTGAGATATTGGGGAGAAATTTGTCTGACAAGTGTGCAGATAGAAGTCATAGTACTGTTTTTCCCAGGAATGAACATAAATCTACACGTGTTTAAATCCCATTATCGTTACAAGTTTCTCCCCAATTATCTTCATAATGGTTCAGAAACAAAAATTCATTCTATACTATTTCATATTATTTTTACACATTAAAGATTATTGAGGTGGTCTTATGGAATTGCATTCCTATCAGAAGTGCATACCAGGACTTTACAGGTGTTCATCACATAATATTTGTTCAATTGTTAATATATGGAAAACATAAAACTTTGCCTACAATTCCCCAATTTCTGATCTTCGTGGATGCGATATTTGCTAAAATTAACTCTTGTACCTAGAGTTAAAAGGTCAATTAATGAAAAAAAAACTTATGCTTTGCAGAATCTAGAATTAAAGTTACCAATTTGCCATATGGTTTTTTTTCATTCAAACATGGGATGAGGGCATTACTGTCAAAGCTAACATTTATTGCCCATTCCTAAGTATCTAGAGCACAGTTAACAGTCAACCACATTGCTTATTCAGTCACGTGTAGGGCAGACCAGGTAAAGGTGGCAGATCTTCTTCTCTAGAGGACGCAAGTGAACTAGACACGTTTTTACGGCAACACCTGATCACCATTAGGGTACCTTATAATTCCAGATTTATATTGAATTCAAATTTCTCTATCTGCAAAGCCAGGATTCGACCCAATGACTCCAAAATTACTATTCCAGAAATGTTACCATTTTATTGCTGCCACTGTTGTTTGAAAACCCGAAATCCCATCCCTGATGAATTCAGATAGGAGGCTTAACAATAGTTGGAAAAATGTACCAAGGATAGCAAGGGCATAGAACGTTATTTGTGTCAGGGACTTATGTCCATTACCTAGAGTGACTCATCACTATTAATTAAGCCAGCCAAGTCCTGAAGGACTAGCTATTAATATCTGGCAGATATTAAGAGAACCATCAAGAGAGAAAAACGTACTTGACCTTGTCCTCATCAACTTACATGTCACAAATGTAGCTGTCACGGACAGTATTGGTAGAATTGATGACCATAGAGCCAATGTTGTGATCAAGCCTCACCTTTTCAATTGGACACCCATCAATGTGTAGCAACACTACTGTACTATATGCAATAGATTCTGAACAGACCCAGCAGCTCAACCAGGTCATGTAGGAAGCAGTACAGGCCAGCAGCAGTACAGTATTTAATCTCAACCGGTTACCTAATGTTCTGATACATCTCTCATCCTACCACAGGCAACAAGACAGGCCCAATGAGAAGAAGTGTTCAAGTGCACAAATGGAACTGCTCCAGACATACCTTTAAATCAGGTACCAATCTGATAAAATTACAACACATTCAACCTCCTGAATGCTAACCAGCACAAGCAATTCTACAATCAACAGAATAGATTATGCAGTCTGTGAATGGTGATGAGACAGAACAACTTACAGAAGGAAGCTCCACAAACATCCCCATCTCCTTTGAAGATACAGCCCACCATGCCAGTATAAAAGACAAGGTTGAAGCATTTGCAACTATCTTCAACCAGAAATACCTTTTCAGCCTCATCAGCAGGTTGGACAGTGTTGTACAAAAGAGACCTAGGGGTTTAGGAATAATTGTTTGAATTTTGCATCACATATAGATAAGGTGGTTAAGAAGACATTTAGCTTGCCAGCCTTCATTGCTCAGACCTTTGAATATGAGTTCGGAAGGCATGTTGAGGTTGCACAGGATGTTGTTGAGGCGTCTTCTGGAGTACTGTGTCCTGTTCTGGTCGCTCTTTTATTGAAAGGACATTAAGCTGGATAAGGTTCAGTAGAGATTTACCAGCATGTTGCTGGGAATGGATGGTTTGAGTTAAAAGGTGAGGCTGGGTAGGCTGGGACACTGCAGTGTAGGAGGTTGACAGATGACCTTATAGAGGTTTATAAAATCATGAGGGGTATCTTTTCCCTAGAGTGGGGGATTTTAAGACTAGTCACCATACCTTAAGGTGAGAGGAGAAAAATTCAAAAAAAGAGATGACGGGCAATTTTTTTTTTTTTTTTTTTTTTTTTTAAACACACATAGGTTCAAGTGTGGAATGAACTTCGAAAGGAATTGGTGGACGCGGCTACAGTTTCAACGCTTAAAAGACATTTAGATAAGAACAGGAATAAGAAATGATTTGAGGGATATGAGCCAAGCGCAGGCAGGTGGGACTAGTTTAGTTTGGGATCATGCTCGGCATGGACTGGTTGGATCAAATGGTCTGTTTCCATGCTATGTGACTCTATGACTCTAATCACAGATGTCTGTACCAATCTGGTTCACCATGCAAAATCAAATGCGAGCTGAAGGAATTGGATATACCAAAGACAATGGCCTTGACAATATTCTAAATGTAGTTAAGTCTACAGATCTCGAAGGCTTAATGATTTATTTTAGTGCTCCAGAACTAGCCACATCCTTACCCAAGCTAATACATTAGCATGTTCCTGACTATGGAAAATTGGTCAGGTAATGTCCCATCCTCAAAAAGGAGAGCAAATCCAAACTGATCAAGTTGATCATGACCCCACCCCTGAGCACCAAACCATCCACAACCTCATCACCTCAGGTGACCTCCCACCCACGGCCTCCAACCTCATCGTTCCCCAACCCCGCACTGCCCGCTTCTGTCTCCTTCCCAAAATCCACAAACCTGAATACCCTGGTCGACCCATTGTCTCTGCCTGCTCCTGCCCCACCAAACTGATCTCCAACTATCTGGACTCCATTTTCTCCCCCTTGGTCCAGGAACTCCCTACCTATGTCAGTGACACCACCCACGCCCTCCACCTCCTCCAGAACTTCCAATTCCCCGGTCCCCAACACCTCATCTTTACCATGGACCTCCAGTCCCTCTACACCTGCATTCCCCATGCAGATGGCCTTAAGGCCCTCCGCTTCTTCCTGTCCCGCAGGCCCGACCAGTCACCCTCCACTGACACCCTCATCCGCTTAGCCGAACTCGTCCTCACCCTCAACAACTTCTCTTTCAATTCCTCCCACTTCCTACAGACAAAGGGGGTGGCCATGGGTACCCACATGGGCCCAAGCTGCGCCTGCCTCTTTGTAGGTTACGTGGAACAATCCCTCTTCCGTACCTACACCGGCCCTAAATCCCACCTCTTCCTCCATTACATTGATGACTGTATCGGCGCCACCTCGTGCTCCCACGAGGAGCTCGAACAGTTCATCCACTTCACCAACACCTTCCACCCCAACCTTAAGTTTACCTGGACCATCTCTAATACCTCTCTCCCCTTCCTGGACCTCTCTGTCTCCATATCAGGCAACCACCTAGAAACCGATATTCATTTCAAGCCCACCGACTCCCACAGCTACCTAGAATACTCCTCCTCCCACCCACCTTCCTGCAAAAATGCTATCCCCTATTCCCAATTCCTTCACCTCCGCCGCATCTGCTCCCAGGATGAGGCATTCCACTCCTGTACATCTCAGTTGTCCTCGTTTTTCAAGGACCGTAACTTCCCCCCCTCAGTGGTCGAGAACGCCCTCAACCGTGTCTCCCACATCTCCCGCACCTCCCGCACCTCATCCCTCACACCCCGTCCACGCAATAAGAACTAAAAAAAGAATCCCCCTCGTCCTCACGTACCACCCCACCAACCTCTGGATCCAACGCATCATCCTCCGACACTTCCGCCATCTGCAATCCGACCCCACCACCAAAGACATCTTTCCCTCCCCACCCATATCTGCTTTCCGGAGGGACCACTCTCTCCGTGACTCCCTTGTCCGCTCCACACTCCCCTCCAGCCCCACCACACCTGGCACTTTTCCCTGCAACCGCAGGAAGTGCTACACCTGCCCCCATACCTCCT